GACTCAAAATCCGTTGCCATCGAGTCGATTCCAACTCAGCCACCCTATAGGACACAGAAGAACTGCCCCACGTTTCCAAGGAGTGGCTGGTGGATTTGAACTGCCGACCTTTTGGTTAGCGCCTGAGCTCTTAACCACTGCGCCACCAGAGCTCCTTTTAAGTGTGACTAGAAAGCCAAAAAACAAATACAAACTCAACTATAGTATAGGCCAAAAGTTAAAAATACAGGTTCTAGAAGCAACAGTCGGGGTTCAAATCTTGGTTCCACACATATCATTTTGCTTTACGATCTTGACAAAGCCACTTAACCCATCTGAGCCTCGTTTCCTCAACTGCAAAACTATGAAACCTACCTCATAGGGTTGAATAAGGAAAATACTTATATGTATAGGAGTATCCTGGTAAGATATAAAATAAAAAGGTATAAACAAAATATAAACTGGTTATTTCTAGGTAAGGAAATTATAGGTGAATTTTCTTGCTCTCTTTTTATCTGTATTTTCTAAAATGGAAGTGTATGTCTTACATAATAACAAATGAATGAATGATTATTTCTCCCTGAGTATCAGCATAGCACAACAATTAAGATCATAGACTCTGGAGCAAGACTTCCTAGGTTCCATTACTAGCTCCATTATTTACTAGCTGTGTGAGCTTAGGCAAGTCACCTAAGCTCTCTGGTTCTGTTTCCTCATCCATGAAATGGAGATAATATTATCTACAGTGTAGAACTAAATGAGCTAATAGAAGGGAAGTTATTAGAACAGAGCCTGGCACATAGTAAGCATTGTGAGTATTAAAAAATGCTATATTTTATTTTTAATATTGATTTTATTAAATATTTTAATACTTATAAAATATTTTAATATCTCAAAATTCTTAAAACTTAGTATTCAACAAACTAAGTTACTTACATGTGAGTAGCTCATTATAGCTTAATGTAGGGGTTGGTAAACTATGGCTAGTGGTTAGATGGCCCTGAGCTAAGAATGGTTTTCACATTTTTATAAGGTTGTAAAAAAAAAAAGAAAGAAAGAAACAAGAAGAATGTGCAATAGAAATAGTTATATGGCCCACGAAGCCTGAAATATTTACTATTTGACCCTTTATTGAAAAAGTTTGCAGACTCTGGCTTAATATGTCTACCCTTTTAAATATATTTGCAATTTAAAATCATCACACTATAAATACCAAGGAATAAATTTCTAAAGGCAGAATTTCAAGAAATACTGTAAATAGTAAGAAAATAGTTTTGGACAAGGGAGATTTTTATTTCATTCCTTCATTTGGTACTTAGGGTTCCAGGACTGACATTTGTATCTGTTTTACTTAGTTTTTCGGGTCTTTGCTGTAGAGGGACAGCATGGTGCTTCTGTTTATAGCACCAGGTTGGCTCAGCCTCCCGGAAGATTTTTATTTCAGCTTCTAAATATTTGAAGCCCCCTCTCTGGTAAGGTAGCTTTTTCTACCAATGATTAAGAATCACTTTATAGTAATTGATTGAAGGCACAGTACCATAAGCTCAAACAACCAGAAAGATTCTTAAAATCACACAGCTGACTACATTCTCAAATGATTATTGTGCTTCTCTTGGCCGACTTTGCCCTGTTGATGTTGGCAATCCAACTACCATGGGAATCCAGGATCATATCATGTCTAGAATCTGCAAACTTGCCAGGCTAAGTATCTAGTTCCTTTGCCACAGACCCCTGTGGTAATGATTATGGGAGTAGGAAAGCTGACTCATGAACTCTTCTTTCTGGACCTTGGTTAGGCACATTTCAGAGAAAGTTGCCAGCTAGTAAAATCACTGGAAAAAATAAAGTTCTTGGAAAGGAAAGAAATTTAGTTAGCTCTTTTTGTTTGCTTTGTTTAAAGTAGGCTGTCAGTTTTAAAGTGAGTGTTACCAACCTGTGATCCTTTGGGTAACTTTATCAGTCTGGAGTCCCTGGGTGGTGCAGATTGTTAATGAGCTCTGCTGCTAACCAAAAGGTTGGAGGTTCAAGTCCACCCAAAAGTGCCTCAGAAAAAGGGTCTAGTGACCTTCTTTTGAAAAGTCAGCCACTGAAAACTCTGTGGAGCACAGTTCTACTCTCGTGGTGCTGACTCTTGCAGAACTGGTTTTTTTTTTTTTCCCCGGCCCAGCCCTTAAGACCAGTTTGGGGAGGGAGTGCTCCATAATCTGTGTTTTCCTCCTGGAACAGACTTGGATTAAAAGAGTAGGGCGGGGGGTTATGACAGACTTGGCAACTTTTTTCTCCCCATTACCATCTAATATTGGAGCCCTGGTGGTGCAGTGGTTAAGAGCTATAGCTGCTAACCAAAAGGTCGGAAGTTCGAATCCACCAGCTGCTCCTTGGAAATCCTACGGGGGCAGTTCTACTCTGTCCTAAAGGGTCGCTATGAGTCGGAATTGACTCGATGGCAATCAGTTTGGTTTGGTGACCATCTAATATCACCATCATTTCAGAAAACAGAGTTGTAAAAGAAATATAGGACAATGAAAATTTGTTTTAAAATTGAATTAATTTAGTCTTCTTAAAAAAAACCAGAAAGATGAAAACTTTAGAATAGCTTCTGGGAAAAACTGCCCTCCCACCATGTTGCTACCATGTCATTGCATCCCTTCTCCTCTACGTTCTTTCTGGCCTCTGGTCTTCTCTCCCTACACCGACTCCACTATTTCCAACCACATTTTCCTTTTTCTTAATTATATCAAGTTGGTAAGGACTTGGATCAGCTATGATCTTTGGGAGGGAGATGGGTGGAATTATGTAGAAGAGCAGACACTCAGGCTTTCTGTGAGACCTACCACTGGAAATAAGGTCTAGGAAGGCAAGGGCTTTGTCTCATTTTCTACTGTGTGTCTGAGCCCAAAAACAGGGCCTGGAACGTGCAAGTGTTCAACAAATAAAATGAATAAAATACAGGTCCTACTGTAACACATCACCAATGACGAGGTAACAATCATTGCTCTTACTAAAGACAATGACATTTTAAAAATCATTAAAGATAAACCTCACTGCAGAAATTTGAGAACCTCATTGATAATACATCACCCTAACCCAACCCTCCCAGCATTGTCTGTCACTTTCTTGTACTATGGTGGCTTGTGTGTTGCTGGAAGTTATGCCACCAGTATTTCAAATACCAGCAGAGCTGTCCATGGTGGACAGGTTTCAGCAGAGCTTCCAGACTAAGACTAGGAAGAAAGGCCTGGTGCTGTACTTCTGAAGATTAGCCAGTGAAAACCCAACGGATCACAAATGCATATTGTTCCAGGAAATGGTACAGGACTGGGCAAGGTTTTGTTCTGTCGTATACAGGGTTGCCATTAGTCAGAGTCCACTTGATAAAAATTAACAACAATAACCCAACCCTTATTAAAATTTTTATTGTTTCTCTTCTCAGTGTTTTAAAATATACATTTAAAGCATATTTGTAATCAGAAAATTTTGTATGAGAAATATGGGGATTATTTTCAAAAGAACCTAGGTATCTCCTTTACCTACAAGATATCATTGCAAAGAAATGTAGGTGATGTTGCCTAAATGAGGCTGAAGTAAACTTTGATAATCTACTTCCTTACAACGAAACATGTTGTGTAAATCGTAGAAGACCTTCTGATCAAGGAGGTATAAGACATGCATTCTCTTGTTGACTCCTACTCTGAGGGCTTCAATGTCCTCATCTGCAAAATCAGAGGAGTGGGGCTCCAATAACTCAAAGGTCTTCTTGAAACTTGAAATTTAATGATTCCTAAAAATGATTTTATTGTCTTACCTTCTGATTGTAGTTTTTACTATTAACTCCAATACAGTAGCTCCTCCTATGCAGAAACACATTTTAGAAATTCACATAAAGAGGCCATCTTTATCTTTCAGGATTATTTTTTACCTGGAGGAACTAGCAGTAAGTTGTTTCACGACTAGAGACTATCTTTATAAACAAAACAGTCAACTCAAAACAAAGTGACAACAACAAACCATCTAAGGGGCAGAGTGAAGATTAACCATTAATTGGCTCGCTGGTGCAGAAATAGAATGGGCAGAATCTTATCATTAGGCTCTCACGTAGAGGAGGGTACTGCAGGAATTTTTTTTTTCTTGCAGAAAAATTCAGGATCAATCCCCTCTTTCTGTTTTTTTTAAAGACCAACGCACCACTTCCTCCTGAAGACAACTTGGCAGCTTGATAGTTAATTCATCAATCTGGGTATTATTTCTGTTTTGGCGGTCACAGTAGAATTGCTTGCCTTGACTGAAACTTAATTGCCCCACCATGAGGCAGATGAGTCTGGAAAGAACCGGGAGGTTTAAGACGATGCTCACAAAACTGGCAAAAAATGCATCCGCTGTGGAGACGAAGTTTCAGTCACTTCCAGTCTTTAAATGGTCTAAATTCGTCACGCTTTCAAAAGAACCAGATTTAATTCGTGCTGCAAGCAGGTAAAGCGAAGTCCACTAGAATTATGATTCCCACCCTGAAGGCTGGTGCTGAATTCGGCTGAGCAGCCACACACTAGGATTTCAAAGGTAGACACGGAAAGAAAGGGTATCTGGGACCGTTTACCAGCCTCGGATAGTAGGCGCTTTCCCACAACAAAGTCCACGTGTTCATCTGCATCGTGTAACCGCATTAATAACGGTAATCGCCCTATCAGGCTGTACAATTCATGTTTCTAACAGCGACTTCCCCGCCCCGTGTAGCCTGCAGGGAGTGGAGCTCCTGCAGCTCCCCAGCGCTTCTCTTGGTTCACCAGCTAAGGCGGCGAGGGAGCCCGGGGCCCCATCCTCTAAAATCAACCTCTGGCGCCAGCTTCTGGGCGGTCACCGCGGTCTTCTGCCGCCCCCTGCCGAGTCTCTAGCATAGCGCCACGGAGGATCAAGGAGCAGCCGCCGTGGCGCGCAGGGTCGATACGTCACCTCTGCGCGCGGCCTGACGGCGGAAGTTAGTCTTGGCCGCTTCCGCCCCTCATTTCCGCTCCGGCTTTCAGCCCAGGAAGCCAGCGCCATCTACAGCGCATAGGTACGGTTGAATGGGAGGTATGGGGTTCCGCTATGGCTCTGCTTTTTTTATTTTTTAAGAGACAGGTCAGCTTAACTGATGTATCACAAAAAAAAACCACACAAAACCCAAACCTGTTGCCGTCGAGTCTATTCCGACTCATGGCGACCCTATAGGACAGAGTAGAACTGCCCCATAGTTTCCAAGGAGCGCCTGGTGGATTCGAACTTCTGACATTTTGGTTAGCAGCAGTAGCACTTAACCACGGTGCCACTCGGGTTTCCACTGGTGTACAGCGAGGTCGTATTCCCGCGCGGCCTCTTAGAGAGTTGCCTGTGGGGGAAGAAGAGGGATGGAAAGAGCCGATTGTATGCAATTACCATGGTTTTGAGTTGAGAGACGCACCTGAATTACCATGGTTTTGAGTTAAGAAAGACCCGCCTGAGTTCAAACCCTGCGCTTCGGCTAGCTTTCTAGCTAATACAAGCTAGTAAGGGTGCTCGGCGATGTTTTGCAATTTTGTAATTTAGGAGTAATGCCTACCTCCTAGGTTGTTGGGGGTTGAATAAGACAATGTATACGAAACACTTAGGACCAAATCAAATCCGTGATTCTGCCTCAGGTGTACGCTTGCCTTTTTCTTCTTAGCATGTCTGAGAAATACTTAAGTTTCAAGAGGTGATGCTTCTCACGGGAACATTATATGGTGTTAGATGGGATCAGTCCCTTTATTCTGTCTTACAAAGTTCTGATCATATTTTGCCCCCTTTTTTTGGCCATCTCTAAGTACAGCTAATTTCGAGCCTTTCTGGAGAGATGCAAAATCCCTTTCCTTAAAACAAATGAGGTGAGAAATACGTTGCTGTAAAAATCTTCAAAATATTTAGCTTACGTCAAAAGAGTAGACCAGCTGGAAAGTAGTACTCTGAAGCCAGTGATCAGCTATTTCTATTAAAAGCCTCTATAACGGGCTGATTGGGGAGGGAAAAACCCGTTGCCCTCGAGCAGAGGAATGTAAATCCTCTTTTTTCATTCCTTAGACCTCACAAGTTACAAGTACGGAAATTTTCGGTGTGTTTGGCAGTTATCCCTTGGAATAATGTTTTTGGTTCATTAAAAATGTTTGAGAGACAGATTGAAATCAATTATAGAATATTATTTTTGAAATTTGTAGGCAGTTGATAACTTCTTGCATTAGGCTATTTAAATATTTATCTTGCTAGATATTATAGGAGTGTTTCGAATGTTGATCTGGTGCTAAAAGAGTAAAATGTTATTGATATTCTTGAGGTCTGACTTATTTTGGTGTAAAAACTGAAAACTAGATAACAGTAATATATGTTTTCCATTGCTTTTTGCACCTCAGGTGAATTTAATTTGGTTTTAATTTTTGACCTGCAAAATAATACAAATTCACTAAATAAAATTTCAACATTGCAGGAATAGGATATAGCTCCCATTAATCTTTCAGAGATAACCATTGTTATTCCATTTTTTGTGTTTCTCTCTGCATATACTAATTTCCCTCTCCTACCCCAATTCCCCTTTTTTATATGAGATATTTTCCTATCCTTACTGTTATGCAGTTTGTCACTTAGAGCTCTTGGATATCTTTCTGTTGCACTAGATTTGTGCCATTTTTTAAACAGCTTGTGTAGTGTTATATTACATAGCTAAGTCAGAATCGACTTGACAGTAACTTTTTTATAGTGTATTGCATAGATATATCACAATTTATTAATCGTTCTATTATTGGTGGCCATTAGGGTTTCTTTTTTGTTACAGTAAATAATGTTATAATGGCCATCTTTTTACCTAACATCTCTGTATTCTTGTCCTTATGTTTCTTTCAGTACTCTCCAATAAGTGGAAATGCCATGTTAAAGAATATGAACATTAAAATTGTGGTAGATGGTGCCAAGTTACCCTCCAATAAGGTAGTGGCAATATTCCCTTCTGACAATTGTATATGAGAGTTTTGGCTGTTTCCTCACTTGCTCACCAACAGTCAATATCATTAGTTACTGTTGTTTTTAAGGCTTAGTTGAGACTTCTCATACTATGTTCTTGGTGAATTTATTGCATTTCTAATATTGCAGTCAAGACCAAATTTTAGTTGCCAGTTGTAAGTCTAGTTCAGTTCTTTTAAGAAAAATAAAAATAGTACCTAGTTTCAGATTCCTTAGTAATAAATTATAAAACAAATGATTCATTTCAGAAGTGAGTATTTATTAAGGATTTGTGGGAAGATAGTATTTGATCGGGACCTTGTAGGATAGATAAGATTTGAAGAGGCAAGCAGCAGGAGGATGGACCCCTCTGAAAGAAAGAGTTGTTTAAGCAAAGGCAGGGAGACAGGAATGGGCAAAGTTGTTCAGGATCAGAGATTGGAGAGATAGTGTGGTTGTAGAATAGAAGAGCTGGCTGGAAAGGTAGTTTAAACAAAGTGGTGAGGGTCTTGGAAAGTCAATCTGAAGGTTTTGCTTTCTAGTGGAGAGACATCAGGACCAGTTGCCATTGAATCAGTTTTGACTCATGGCGACCCCATGTGTGTCAGAGTAGAACTGGGCTCCATAGGGTTGTCAGTGGCTGTTTTTTTTCAAAGTAGATCACGAGGACTTTCTTCCCAGGTGTCTCTGGGTGGACTCGGACTGCCTTTTGTTCAGTTAGCAGCCAAGTGGGTAGTGGAGAGCCACAGAAGGTCTTTAATCAGTGAACGAGGGACATAGTCCCATCTTTGTTTACAAGTATCACTCGTGGCAGTCTTGAGAGACTGGTGTCAGAAAAGCAAGGGCTTGAAGGAGAGGACAACAGGAAAGAGCAGAGGACTTGGATTTCAGAGATACTGAAGAAACAATCTACATGATTTGATGCCTGGGGTTAAGGAAGAGGAAGAACACAAAGCTCACTAGATTTTTATCATGAGTGACTATTAGAATAGTGATAGTGATATTAATCAATGGAAGGTTAGTGTTTGGGAGCTGGGGAAAGATGCTCTGTTCTGTCTTGGACATGCTAATTCATCTGAAAGCCATTCCCATGGAGACTGAGTTATACCCAAAGACATACAATCCATCTGTGACAAATTCAGGAGAAACCTTAATAGTTATTACTCTTTCGTTAATAATTTTGGTGTATATTTTCACTTTTTTAAAGTCTACTATTAGTAGAATTCCTTTTGAACGTTCTGTGGCTCATTCAGCCCTGTTTACTATGGTGTTAATAATTTTAAGATAGAGCATTTTCTGAAATAGTAGTCTTCAAACTTTATTTGATTGTGCATACTGTCAATAAAAAATATTTGGGTATGTACATCCACTATATGTATATTTATTGATCAATTAGTTATGTACATGTCTTATAGTACTGTTATATTGTGTACATTATAAAATGCAAAAAATGGAAATTTTAGAAGTCTAAAACAAGTATAAATTGGAGTTTTACTATTTTCTTTCTACATCCCGTTGAGTCATCTTGTAAAAGGTTGGCAGTTCGAACCTACCAGCTGCTCCTTGGAAACCCAATGGGGCAGTTTTGCTCTGGCCTGTAAGGTCGCTACGAATTGGAATCGACTCAATGGCAATGGGTTTGGTTTTGGTTTGGCCTGATCTACAGCTGTCAGTGTTCTGCCGCATTATCCAGTAGAGGTCACCCCTGAGCATCTGGAAGCGAGAACAAGCTGGTGAGCTATGTGAGGTGGAACCTTCATTCTTTAGTTAGAAGGAGGCTCTTATTTTTAAGTTTCTAAATTTATGTATTTTGGAAGAGTATGTAGTTATACAGAGTAGTATGTGGTTTTATGGAGATGTGAAAAATATTGAACTCAGGGTATTGAACAATCTAAAATGTGCTTTCGTCGTTGTGTGATATTTGCCATGTGAGTGTCCTGCATTTTGGTTTAAATGTTATTTGATTCTACAGTTTTAGAATCTTTTTCCAATTCTTTGAGGATCTATAAACTCTGTGAGCTACAGGAATGCTCCTAGCGCATAGGTATAATCCAAATTCTTGTTACAATTGGAGTAATTAAAAGGATAGACACAAAGAGGCTTTCTCTGAAACTGATCTTGAAAGCAGTGTCCTAAGCCCAGAGATGTTAGTGGTGGGTTGGAACCATCTGTTTTCTGTTTTATGCTTAATTAGGAGAGGGGAAGATGGAAATGCCCCCTTTAAGTCAATAAGAGCTCATTGTAAGTAATTAGAAATCAAGAGCTAAGTTTGTCACAACTATGTATTCTGAAAAGGAAGAAGTACAGTTTTAAAAATATATGGAAATGTTCCTTTTTTCTTTATCATACTTAAATTTAGACATTTTGTGCCCCATTTTTAAACCATCAGGAAAATGAGCTATTGAGATTTTAGGCACTTGCTGGAAGTTAGATGTTTTGTGAAACAGACTCAGACAGCCCTGGATTAGTCTTGTGTAACGTGGTAATGGGGTAGGGAAAATGATTTTTATGTTTTTGTTGTTTTTGTGCCATTTCTCAGAGTTCTACATGTGGTGGACAGTGTGCATTAAATACCACAACTCGATTATCTTGAAGATGAAAGTTGGTTTAAAATTGTTGGATTAGAACCTAGGGAGCACATAGTGTAAACTGAGTGAGATAGATATTGGAATCAGGAGCTGTTGAGCCAGCGGTCTTTCAGAGGTAAGAATTAGGGCTCTAATGAAAGCAGAGGTTTAAAAGGGATCACAAATCTAGAAAAAAGTATTTAAAATAGAAACTAGGTAGTCAGAGGTGTTGGTTTTCAGGACTGGGTTTAGAGTTTTATAGTTAGTAGGTCAGAGCAAGGAAGAGACAAGAGCAAGCAGAAGCAAGGAAGTCTGGTATCTGTGGGCAGGGGCAAGGACAAAGATCTGGAGAGTTGGAGCACGAGACAATTGAAGGTACCAGTTATTAGGAATAAGCCAAAGGTTTAGAAACCAGGAAGACAAAGCAGAGAGGGAGAAGGAGAAATAACTGGTTTTGGGTGGCTAAGGCAGGCAAAGTCCTTTATTCTGTAAGAATAAAAAAAGCAAGAAAAGGGTAGGACTAATTCTGGGGCATTGATGATGCCGTCTTGCCTTTATGCCAAGAGTGGGAGCAGGCCAGGGCCACAGGTGAACATCAGAAGCGGTGAGCTACGGGGTGAGAATGTGGTGCCTGAATGGTTACCACAGCACCAGAACTGGAACCATAGGCATGTTCTTACAGAAATGACCATGATGCTTATAGGATCATAATTAGTCATTTAGTTGTTTAACACACGTCTTTGTATAATATTATATATGTTGTTTTACACAGCATTCCAAAAGGTTTGGGCTACCTGACCATTATGGCACCAAGAAACCTCTTATATATGAGAAGTAACTTTCTCCTTGGTTCAAGATGTTGGATGATCCGATTTTCAACAGAAATCCTCTTCAAATCCGTTTCGTTTAGGCTTTTTGGCGTGAAGCGTAATAATGCAGATGGTGAGTCTTTGGAGAAGGATGAGCTACTGAACAACTTACTTACTATGGGAGTAGATATCGACATGGCAAAGAAACGACAACCTGGAGTTTTTAATAGGATGGTTACTAATGAGCAGGACCTGAAGATGTTCCTTCTGTCCAAAGGGGCTAGCAAACAAGTGATTGCTAGCATCATATCAAGATATCCACGAGCCATAACACGCACATCTGAAAGCCTTTCAAAACGATGGGATCTGTGGAGGAAGATTATGGCATCAGACCTTGAAATTGTAAATATTTTGGAACGTTCTCCAGAATCTTTTTTTCGGTCCAATAACAACCTAAACTTAGAGAATAATATAAAGTTCTTCTACTCAGTTGGATTGACCCGTAAATGCCTTTGTCGATTGTTGACTAATGCTCCACGTACCTTCTCCAATAGTCTTGATCTGAATAAACAGATGGTTGAATTTTTACAATCAGTCTGTTTGTCCTTGGGCCACAAAGATCCTGCAGATTTTGTCAGAAAGATAATTTTTAAAAATCCTTTTATTTTAATTCGGAGCACCAAACGAGTGAAAACTAACATTGAGTTTTTACAGTCAGCTTTCAGCTTGAACAGTGAGGAGCTGCTGGCTCTGATATGTGGCCCAGGAGCTGAAATCCTAGACCTTTCCAATGACTATGCCAAAAGAAACTACACAAATATCAAAGAAAAGCTGTTTTCTCTTGGGTGTACTGAAGAAGAGGTACAGAAGTTTGTCTTCAGCTATCCAGATATGATCTACTTGGCAGAGAAAAAGTTTAATGACAAAATAGACTGCCTCATACAAGAAAAAATTAACATTTCACAAATAATGGAAAGTCCTCGGGTTCTGGATTCAAGCCTAAGTACTTTAAAAAGTAGAATCAAAGAATTGGTAAATGCTGGCTATAACTTGAGTACATCCAATATCACTCCTCTGTCTTGGAGTCTAAAAAGATATAAAGCTAAATTGAAAAAGTTAAATGGATAGAACATTGGGAATTTAAAGAATCTTTTAATGTAGTCATTTCATGTTGAATTTGGGCCTTTCGTAAAGGATAGGTACATGGTCTGTGGCTAACGATCTAAGAATATGGCTTTCATGTGAAAAACCTGACTATAGGCTCCTCCCTGTTAGACTGTAATGCCCTATACCTCACACCCAGAAGTATGACCTAGTGGAGATCTAGCGGAAAATCTGTTGATGGCAGAACCCTAGCCACAAGCTTTGATAATGGACATTGTTACACAGCCTGGAAAAGCCTGGCACAAGCAAAGTAGGATAGCCAGATTGCATTATTAGGGAGATTTTGAGAAGAGATCATAACAGAAGTCCAGTTGCCCAACATTGGAGAGGAAGAGGAAGAGCTGTGACTCTTCATTGGCCTCTAGGGATCATCTCTGAACGGACAGGTTCCTGGGTCTGAATAGCCGTGGAGTGACTTTTGAGACTGGTATTCTTAACTGGCCAAGAGTCCCTGGGCTGAGGCTGTTCGTTCACTCCTTAGTTTATTCCCCATTAACTTGGGAACTGGTACAAGACTGAGCTATACAATCAGTTTTGAGGACCTGAGGAAGGCACTCATGGTGAATGTCATAACCAGGCCATTTGTATCTTGCTTATTTTCATGTTTTTGATGCTCCCCAAGATGGTGCTATTGCCTCTTCACTGTTTCTTCTGGTCTTTCCAAGATGACTGTTCTCTACCCCTTTGCTTTCACCCCCCCTGCCCGTCAATTCACAGAGGTTGTTAGTGGAATAAAATGAAAAAACTAAAATGCTTACAGACTTTTTTGTTATGATTTAAACCATGTTCTTGCTAAACAGGGACTTTTAGCCTTTTGACTAATTTCTGAGTAGAATTAGGTATAGTGATAGAAGATCTACTGATGGAATCTCATTTTCTGTCTCAGTTTCACTATTAATAAGACAGGTATTTGGAAGTTGTCCTTCCTTAATAGCAATCTTGAGTGAATATATGTCTTAGGCTGGATTCACTAGAGAAAACCAGTGAAGCACACATATATATATATTTTTGTATATATATGTATATAATATATGTGTATATGATATTATTATAATCTCAAGGAAGTGGCTCATGCAATTGTAGAGGATGGCAAGTCTCAAGTCTGTGTGTCAGGCTGGAGGCTGGAAGCTGGAGGCTTCTGACTAATGTAGCTGCAGGGACTGATGAACGGCAGGTCAGATGATAGGCTGCTGGCTCACAGGCTGAGGAGGCCAGTGAATCCCCAGATGAGCATGCAGTACAGCAGGCCACTGGCTCAAGTCCAGGAACTGGAGGTCAGATGATGATGAGCCAGATGCAGGATCCAAAGTGAGCAAAAGCCAGTGAGCTTTCCAGAACACCCATATATATTGGGTGCAGGCCACACCCCTGAGGAAACTCCCCTTACAATTGATTGGCTGATCATATCATATAGAAGTGATTACGTTATATCACAAAATGGAGGATAACTACATCATTACACAACTGCCAAATTTACATTATTACATAACTGCCAAACCACTGAGAATCATGGCCCAGCCAAGTTGACACACAACCATCACAACATTGATGAGCTTATGTATATGACTTGTGTTCATTATGAAAAATTTCACCATGATGGTTTGAGAGTTCTTCCACCTCCATTGATTATCTCACTGCCACTTTAACCAGCTGTCAGGATACCTTCAGTTTATGCCTACCATGATTGTCTTTTTACTTTGCAATGGAAATGAATTTTATTCTCTGATGAAACACAATCATTGTAAATGCCTTTGAACAATACGAAGAAACAAACTCCTAGCTAACCTGTTTATCATGATGTGGAGGACATTTATTCTTAGTTTACAAAAAAATTTGTTTATTTAAATCAGGGATTAATGATTTTTAAAAAATTCCTTTTGAAAAATTGTCTTTTAACCCATTCATGAATGGCTTCAGTAGACTTCTTTGTATCACCGTTTGTTTTACTAAGACTTATGTTGGTGTGAAGGAGCACTGGTAGTGCAGTGGTTCAGTGCTCAGCTGCTAACCAACAGGTCAGTGGTTTGAACCTACCAGCTGCTCTACGGGAGAAAGAGTATCACCGTTTGTTTTACTAAGACTTATGTTGGCGTGAAGGAGCACTGGTAGTGCAGTGGTTCAGTGCTCAGCTGCTAACCAACAGGTCAGTGGTTTGAACCTACCAGCTGCTCTACGGGAGAAAGATGTGGCAGTCTGCTTCTGTAAAGATTTACAGCCTTGGAAACCCTATGGGGCAGTCCTCCTCTGCCCTGTAGGGTTGCTATGAGTCAGAATTGACTCGATGGTAATGGATTTGGTTTATGTTGGTGTTAATACACTGCCGTATTCAATTTACTAATACTTAGGATTTTTCGTAAGCATTCACAAGGCAGCTTGGTTTACAACTTCCCCACTCCTCTTTTTGTGGTTCTTTTTTTGGTAGGCCTGCCACTTGGTCAGGTTTTTGAATCAGGGTTGTGCTAGCCTTGTGAAATTAATGTGGAAGCTTTTCTGCCCCCTATGCTTTGGAACCACTTGAAAACTCTATTTCTTTAGAGTTTCGCAGAAACTGCCTGTAAAAATAATCTGGGCCTGGTGTCTTGTTCAGGATAGAGCTTTGACAAAATGGAAGGTTGTCGAGGCTTGTATAAATAAAGACTTTTGACCTAGATTTTCTTTGTGGATATCAATATAAAGCTCTCTTTTGTCTTGGTTAATGCATTTTGCTTTGAACTTGTGTTGACATTAACATTGCTGTGCTTTATGTCTGTACAAAGGCTTGTACACCAATATTCACAACAACTTGTAATACCCAAAAACTGGGAACAGCCAGTGATATATTCAGATTCTGATATATTCATGCAGTGGAATATTACTCAGCAGTACAAAGCAATGAACTGTTGATACATGCAACAACATGGACGAATCTTAAAATAATTATGCTGAATGAAAGAACCGAGACAAAAAAAGAAAAAAGACCAGCCTGTATGAGTCCATTTATATAAAATTCTAGAAAATGTAAACCAATCTATAGTGACAGGAAGCAGATCAGTATCTGAGGGTGGAGATGGGGTGAGGTGGGGAAAGCTAGGAAGGAGGAATTACAAAGGGGCACAAGGGAACTTTTTCAGGTGATGTATATATTCATTTTCTTAATTGCGGTGATAGTTTTGTGAGTATATAAATATGTCAAAACTTATCAAACTGTAAATTTAAAATATGTACAGTTTTGGGTACTTCAGTAGTTGTTAGCTGCTGTTGAGTTGGCCCTGACTCATGGTGATCCCATGCATGTTGGAATGAATGCTGCAAAGTCCTACTCCATCTCCATGGTCAACTGTGAATCAGACAGTTGTGATCCATAGGGTTTTCATTGGCTGATTTTTAGAAGTAGATCTTCAGGCCTTTCTTCTTAGTCTGTCTTAGTCTGGAAGTTCCTCTAAAGCCTGTTTAACATTATAGCAACATGCAAGCCTCTGCTGACAGACAGGTGGTGGCTGTGCATGAGATGCATTGGCTGGGAATTTAACCTGGGTCTCCTGCATGGAAGGTGAGAATTCTACCACTGAACCACTGTGTAATTCAATTATACCTCAGTGAAGCTGAATCCTTGCACCACTGATTTGACATGCCAATTCTTATCTAATAATAAATTTCCACATGTATATGTTTCTAGACTCTCTTCAACTCCATTTAACAAATGTATTTGACTTTATATTTCTTTATCAATATTAAGAATTAAACAGTATTTCCTTTCAACAGTGTTGGGAGACCTGGGAAACCATCTAGAAAGAAAAGATTAATTTATACTAAAAGCAGCAGAGTAAACTCAAAGTGAAACAGTCATGAGCCCTGTACCACTCAGCCTTTGCCTTGGCCTTACACCTAACCGCCTGTACTCAAGTTGGGCTGTGGCATCAGTTAGACACTGGGTCTAATACTAGTAGCTTTTTATTCTAGAGGGTTTCCTTGGACTTGACTGTGATCTTTGGGCTGGAATTTACCAGGAGAATAGCTATCCCCTGCTTTGGTCTTGCTGTTTCGCTAGTGCAGGTTAATTTGGACTTTTACCTTTCTGCCGCAAGATCTCCGGTGAAGTCCCATGTTGTGTGGAGAGCCAATGTGTTTCTTTGGTTATAGTAAACTGACTGGATTTGCTCTCTCAGCAGCCACATCCAGCTGCCTTGTCTAATGAAAGTTGGATGCAGGGATCCAAGTGAGAGGCATTCCTTCCTTTGTGCTTTCCTGGAGTACTGATTGTCATGTTACCCTCAGTATTAAATAAAGTCTGTAGCTAAATCAGTTCACTTAGGTCAGTGTTATCCCACTCTGCGTGTTTGAATATATTTCTCAGACCTGGTCATCTTCTTCAGAATGTGTATTTCTCCTAACTGAAGCCATATGGAAGTTTCTGGGTGGTGCAAAAGGTTAAATGCTCAGCTACTAACCAAAAGGTTGGTGGTTCGAATACACACAGAGGTGCCTCAGAAGAAAGGCCTGGCTGTCTGCTTCCAAAAGTTCACAGCCGTGAAAACCCTATGGAGTGCAGTTCTACTCTGGAACATATGGGATCACCGTGAGTCGGAATTGACAGCAACTGGTGGCGGTAGAAGCTATGTGACTGCTTTTCATGTAAGCACAATATGCATAGTTTCAACTATGTGGTAAACTGTTTATAGAGTTAAAGATTTAATTTAGTGTATGATTAATAGGTAACTGATAAAAGGATTAAAATTGGGTCCCAATCATTCTATATTGTGCGTAGAACTTCATGAACTACAGGGGGAGACTAGACCATCTGTTCTGCTAATAAAACCTCTCTATTGTTTGAATTTGAGCATGGTAGTATTCTCATGTTGCTGCTTGGTAATCAGCTGAAGACAACACAACCAAGCCTATTTTTATGAGGTCCTTTGTAGGCCTGAGATTTTTACATTCTGTAGGTAAGGTGGCCCCTGAAATTTTTGTGGCCAGTTTTATGTGTCATTTATATCTGAAATTCAGCTTTGGAACCACTTGGGACAATGGTTCTAAAACCTGGTTCTATAACTACAGTCATCTAGTGAGTATTTTTTCTAGAAATTCACCAGTTGTTTTCCTACCACTGGGCATTTTTTGTTATTTGTGCTCCTTCCTAGGCTCCAGCTTCCTGCTATGTGGCTGGGGCTCATTTCTCTCTAGATTGATTCTATTTCTTCTTTTCTGTCTTGTACCTCTTTTCCAGGCTCCAGAGGACAATGCCAGAGTTGCAGTTACTTGATTGTTAATTGATCTGGAAGATCAATTTTATACATCTTTGTCTAAATAAAGCCTGTCTAAGCTATGCCTAGAGCATCTCCTTTTTCATAGCCAAAATGCTCAGTAAGTTATTTTCTTAAATAAGGAGCAGTTTTTCCTTAAGATGTATTCTGGTCCTCCAAGGCATCTGGCTCAAACTGAAACTAAATCAAAACATTGATGATACCAGATTTTTCCTTTCCAGTGGGAAAATTGCTGTCTTTTTGAGGGACTTTCTGCTGCATTTGATACTGTTTGAATAAGTAATGCATGCTCATGGAATACAGTTCAGAAGGTACAAAAGGATTTAGGATGCAAAGGAATCTCCCCACCCCTGTCTCCGCCTAGTTAAACCTGTCCCTACCTAGTTAAACCCACATTGTGACATAAAATATATATTGTTGTTTTAACTTTTAAAAAAAAATAGCTTAGGGATCATTTTATGTCAGCATATAAAGAGCTGTTTCATCCTTTTTAGTGGCTGTATAGAAGTCCATTGTGTGGATAGACAAAAATTTTTTAACTGGTTCTAATTGATAGAAATTTAATCATTTAATCTATTGTTATTACAAATGCTTCTGAAGAACATTTCTTTCTATATTATTTTTCATAAGTGTAGGACAAATGTATAGAATGGAATTGTTGGGTCAAAAGATAGGTCCATTTTCCTATATTATTTTTCATATGTACAAAATAAGTGTAGGACAAATGTATAGAATGGAATTGTTGGGTCAAAAGATAGGTCCATTTTGAATTTTGACAGATAAATTGCCGAAATGTCTTCCAATTACACTTT